GAGGCACGTGGGAACATTTGCGCCAGCACTCCTCTGAGCTCAGAACCTAAGGCTCCACTGAGCATCTGCTAGAGCACAATAAAGCAAACGGATCACCTCGCATCCTGCCTTCCACTTGCCCAAAAGCTACTCTGCTTCGGTCAACAACCTCATCCATCAAAACCCTGCACAAGCAGGTACAATTAACCAGTGCGGCCTCGGGCTTTCATTTTCAGAATGAAAAAAAGGCTGAGCTGCAGCCCATTAGCTCCTGGGAAAAATCAAATACAGTTGAGGATACTTAATATTAAGCAATTTCAATTGCCATGCTTACTCAGTCTGCCCAGTAAGAACAGGGCAGGTTCAGCTGTTAGTGGTGTCACCCCACCCTCATCTGCTGAGCAGAAGGCAAACACGACCTAGACATCAAAATCACAGCCCCAGTGAACAAGGCTGTCCCACTGTCAGAAGGATGCTGGTCTCAGAGGGCCACATCTCTCTGCCGTCACCCAGTAGAGTCCTTCGCAGACAGGCTGAGGAAACCATGGAGAAGGAACATCCCTGCCACTGGGCAGCATCCCAGCCTCTGGCACAGGCTGGCAGGGGTTAGCAGCACTGCCTCCTTCCTGCTTTGCATCAACAGAAGGCTGGTCAATCCAGCATACTGCAGTAGCCCTAAACACTCCTTACATACTTCAAAGATCTTTAAAGCAAGTAAACAAACAAACAAACAGGCTGGGAAACATAAAAGCAGATTTCTTCCATGTCTAATTGATCCAAGGGTTCAAAGATTCCTGTGAAGAAGGCAAGCTCAAAACTGCAGGGAGGATGCAAAAACCCACATTCAAAGCCACACAGAGGAGATTACTGCTTGGGAAGAGGGGTTTCGTCCCCACCCAGGCTCCGTTCCACACTTCACCAACTGAGAATACAACCTGAAGCATGGAGGGATGAGTGGTACCCAGCACGGAGGCTCCTGAACACCGAACCAGCAGCCTCGCCTTGTGCCTGCCCTTTTTCAGCAGAAGATGGGCAGAGACCGGGGGAAGTCAGGCTCTCAGCAAGTCCTCTCCTGCCTTCAGAGCTTGTTGAGCACGGCTGGGCAGCAGGGTCTGCATACTGCAAACAGCACAGAAACCATGCCAGGAACCAGGTTACAATGCTCTGAACGCATCTATATGTCAACACCTCCTGGAACACCTGCATCCCTCCCCACCTACACCCAGCTGCCAGGAGAGGTCTTGCTCAGTGTCTCCTAACAGCTGCCACCAGAGATGACGACCGAGGCTGATGCCCTGCTGAGAAGAGATGAAAAGCAGCCCAGAGTCAGTTCTCACTTTGGAAGGCTCAGCTCCATGCTCCTGATTCACCGCTGCCCACCAAGCACTGGGCACAGCCAGCTCCTTGCTGAGCAGATACTGAAACCTCAGCCCAAACCAAGGGATCTAGAAGAGGGCAGCCAGGGCTCCCACCCCACATCTGGCAGCAGTGCCAAGGGCAGAGCTGGGTGTTTGCACCCTGGGACATCTCCCAGCACCAGGCAGCAGTTCTTTTGTTCATGGTTGCCGTCAGTCCTACAGAACAGCTCCCTTACAGCCACAGCAGGTTCCCTTACCTCTCTCCAAAGGCAAAAGCCTCCCAGTACTCAACTCATGACTTCCAGTGTGTGAAAGAGGGCAAGACCAGTTTTCAGGGCCACATTTTTGGGTGTTTGGAGAAACAGACACCACCTCTGTTTATTTGCTTCATGTTTTAGCTACTCTCTAGTTCTTTCTGTTTGTTGCTTTAAGCTCCCTCTGTTTGCATTTCTTCACAAGGTCTTTGCTTTCACAAGACTCTTGCAGCACTGCCCCGCTTCCCTGGCCTCCACCTTTGTCTTCCGACATCCAGTTGCTCTCAGAATATTAATTAAAACCACAGAAAGCTCAAGAAGAGGAGCCAAAACAGCAGAGGAAAACATCAGACATTCCTTCCTGCCTCAGGCCCCTGGCAGAGGACGATGCCCAAGACTTAGAATCAAAAGTCACCTGTGAAGGACACGACAGTCTGATGGTCTGGCTCAGGGTTTCTCAGCCAATTGTACAGATTCTCCCAGAAATCAAGTTTGCTGTGGAACTTTATTCTACCTGCTTCATTAATGTGTTTTAGAAGATGCCGCCCTATCAGATGATTTTAGCATCCTTATGAATATGCAGACTTTTTATAACCTTAAGCAGGGAAAATAATCTGAAGGGAAAAAAATTTGAAAGCTCTCCTCACCACAAGACTTGTTGACATCAAAAGGCACGGCTACTTCAGAAGTCAGCTTGAATCTCAACTCTCTCACCTGCTTCCTATTACAGAAACAGATGTTCCTCTTGCTGTAGATTGCTGCTATTAATAATATAAATAATTATGCTTTTCTAATCATTTAATAGGTGCACAGGAGGGTACCAAAGTTCCTGGCAGCCATTAAATACATCTCCCTTCTTCTCAAGGGCTCAGAGACACCTTGGTGGCCTCTTATACTCCACTGAAGTTCAGAATAAGAGGGGTGAAGCCAGAATAAAAGCTAAGGAGAAATCAAGGGAGGCAGGATCCTCTCCACAGGCTGTCCTGCAGATCATTCTCTGTCCAAATCTCTGCAACAGGGACAGCACCTTTCCCACCTGACGCACGTGGAAAAGCACGCACGTGGCTAAGTACTGCAATGCTCACACTCCTTTCTTCCAGCAAGATGCTACGGCACAGCCCCAGCCCACAAAACACTGGGGCAGCTGATTGCTGCTTCCCCAGCAGGTTCCCAGGACCTGGCGAGGGGCAGCATCCCCCACCACCCACCGAAGCCCTGCTCTGTAAGGGAACCTGCCCCAGGCACTGTGCTCCTGCACTGCAAGCCCCAGTCATTTGCTGGTTTTCCTCCAGAGAACACTTTGTCCTGCTGTTGACAACAGCCCCAGCCTTGGGAATGTTCGCAATGCCACTGCTGATTAACAAGGTCACTGCAACCTCCAGCGAACACCGCCTCTGACTGCAGCTGCTCAGCCCCCCTTCCCACCCTGCAGCCAACACACACACAGACTGGCAGGGCTCTGGCGCTGTCAGACAAGAGAAAAATCACTACTGGCTCCAGATGTTAACAGCATAGGCACATCTGGATCACTGGAGGGCAGGGAGCAGCCCATGGGTGACACGCTGGCTCTGCCTTACCCTGCCTCGCCTCCAGCGACTGACCAGGCTTGCCTCGTGCCTTAAGCAAAAATCCCAACCCTTCAGTGCCACGTGCTCTCCAGGTCTGATGCTGTGAGATGCCATCAAGTGGGGCTGTGCCAGGGAGGAAGCGAGGCTGGGTCACCACTGCTGTCAGGGACACTGGCACACACCAGGCTCAGCTCTCCCCAAGACCCTCCCTGCCCTGCCTGCAGCAGGACAGCACCAGACCAGTCCATAGCAGGTTGCATTCAAGCCCAGATTCAATGGGGAGCATGTTATGAGAGCAGAGACGCCCTTGCTCTATTTTTTCATTTATTTCCAGCTAAGAAAAGGCTGCGCACTCCTAGTTATGCAATACGGCCAGAGCTGCAGAGCCCCTCTCCCAGCTAAATCTGGCCCAACCCCTTCTGCTGCAGCTCTTCCACACAACACACTCACACATGCAGTCAAACGCATTTCAGAGAGCGGTGCTCTCATGCCCATGCAGTCCTGGGCACTGCCCTCCACCTGCACCCCTCTGTTCCCCAGCCCGAGGGACCTGGCAGCCCATCAGCTTGTTTCCTCCTCACTTCACGCTGTCCCAGCAGCAGAAGCACCATCCAGGTTAATTTCCTGTTCCCCTTTCACTACAAAATAATTTACCAAAAGGAAGCTCCTAACGAGATGCTGGGAATGAACCCAACTCCCTCACTAATAAGTTTCCCAGCAGCTGTAAAGATGGACCTGACGTGCAAAAGGAGGCTGGGGTGACCCACGTGGCTTTTGAGGAAACAGATCACCGCAGATCCTGATGGGGCTCAGCAGGACATGCTGCCTCTCTTGCCCACAGCTCGACTTCTCAGGAAAAGCATAACGCAGCAGGCTACACCTTCAGGATCAATACTGCGAGCAAACACTCACAGCTGGCTTTTCTCCCACCCAGGACACCGTGCCTCAACCCGAGCATCATCTTCTCTACAGCAGTTCTACCAACAGGAAAGAGAACACAGGAACACACCGCCTGAGAAAGCGTGTCTGCACTAACAAGGTCATATTTAATCAGCCGGCACCTCCCGGGATGCAGTTTGGTCTGTGTGAATTAATAAATCTGTCCACAGAGACAGCAACCAGCTGGAGGTGCCCCATGCCAGGCACCCACTAATGCCTGCAGTGGCAGGTCCAGGACAGGCAGACGGTCCCTGAGCTGGGGACACACGTCAGGCTGGCAGGGTGACAGCACACTGGGGCGAGGACACAGCTGCTCTTTCCTGCTCTCTGAGGAGCAGAGGCAGAATGACCCAGGATGGCAAGTAAAGCCATTTTCTCTGCTGTGAGCACACCTTGCCACCTCTTTGCTTCCATCACCGCAGCTGTTCAGGGGTGAGACAGCACCCAGCTTGCCGATGCTCACAGCCTGCCTTCAGCCCATGCTGTAGGCTTGTTCCTTGGGTGCTAATCAGAACAAGAGCAGCCAAAAATCCCTGACAGTCACCTTTTTGAAAGCTTGCTCTATCAGTCAAATCAGTTAAAAGGGCCCTGCAGAGCTTTAAAAGAGACAAAAGCTGGTTTGCTGCTTGGCCTGAGGACGCTCATTCCCAATGCAGATTAATTCCATTAACTCATTCTGAGCCCTTTTTGGGACAGATCCTTCCCTGCCCGCGCAGCTTATAGAAAGCACAGAGCAAACATACTGCAGTCTCCTTTCTGTTAAAGGCACTCCATAGCCTCATCTTGCTCTCGCATTCCCATTTCCTCCCATGTTGCCCATTTGCAAACACCTCCCCATCCCCACACACCACACCACATCTTTCCCAAGCCCCTTCAGTGCCAGCAAAAGCCCAGAAACTCACCTTGTGCTTCATAGCCAGAATAGTGGTGAGCCAAGCCCACATCCTCGTCCCCGGGGCCCAAGCCGAGGGCTGACTTGAGCTGGGCCATGTTCACCTGTGCTGCCAGCTCGCCGTTCCGGTCCCCGATCTACAGGGTGAAACCAACAGGACAGCTGGTAAAAAGGCAACGTGCTCCGAAGCAAACAGCCCCTAGCAAAGGGTTTTCCAGTCCCATACCAAAGCAAACACACAGCCAGCCAGAGGAGAGCTCAGAGACACCCAAGAGACCGTACAGCCCAGCTTTCAGCACCAAAGCGACTCTCCAGAACCATTCCTCAGTGGGAATCAGAGAGAAGGTCCCTGCATGCTGTGCACCGGCTGCACCTCATTTCTGTGGAGTTTGGTACAATGAACTGAGGGGCACAGCTTGCCCACTGCTACAGAGATAAATGTGCACATCTGGTCCATCCTGTAGCCGTGTATGGCTTTGCAGAGAGCCCTGAAACTCTCAGCCCACTTTGAGTATTTCCATCGTCACTGAGCACCAGACAGCCCCACTACTGTCAGCCACGTGGGCACTGTCACACTGAGGGCTTGGGTGCTCCCAAAGCCCTTCTCTCCTGGCTCAGATCTATAGAGCTTTGAGTTGTTCTTAGTGATATACCTACACAAGACTCCAAAGTCTTTTGGAGTCCAAATTTTTCCAAATTTCCATCTCTCACTGGCCTGAAGCTCAGAGAGCTGATGTTACATATTCAGGAAGAGATTTTTCCAACAGCTCCTGCTACTTAAAATGGGGAGTTGTAGGACACGCTGCTGAGCCCTCCTCAAAAGTTTAATGAAACAAGAAAATTACTGTGCTGCATATCACCAGCAAACAGAGGTCACTCAGAAACAGCTTCTAATCTTCAGAGGAACAGCAGCATCTGTGACAGAGGAAGACCTTGGCTGTTCCCTTGGAGAAGCCTGACCCCCTATTAAATGCCTTGCAACAGCTCCCTTGTGGTCCTTCAAGATAGATTGCAGCGTGAGCCATCCTAGAACAAAATCATAAATCCCCACATTATTTATGGCAAAGCCCCAAGCACTAGTAAAGGGAGGCAGATCAAATGGCTTATCGTCAGGCATAAATACCCTGCCCATTACAAGAGATTTGCTGTTGACATCATCTCCAGAGAAATTACTATGTCCTGGTTAGGTTTCGCAGTCCTTGATGCTGTTCAATGCTTCCCTGACATCCACTCGTTTCAGATCCTCTCCAAGGCCCTTTTAAAATCGGAGGAACGCACTGGCAGGACAGCAATGTGAGGCAGGTTTTTCCTGGGCAAAATGCTGGTGCTGCCACAACAGCACATGCAGCTCACTTGGTTCCCAAGGCTAAAATAAACCATCAGCTGTAGAACAGAATCACTAGCTGCTCGAAGCTAATGCAGGCTCTCCTCACGAGCGGACAGTCTCTGCACTGCTCCATAATTAAAGATGTGGAGGAGTATATTAGCCACCTGCCATGAGTAACCTACTACTGACATGCCCTGTAATCACAGCATCACCCCAGAATGAGAACACCACTGTGAACCCCCACCCTGTCAGGTTTTTCCCTCCACCCCCAGAAACCTCCAGTATCACCACTGCTCCTGTCCTCCCATCACCCCTCATCTGCACTGCACACCGCCAGGCTGCCAGCTGGTTCTGAGTAATCAGCCCTGCGCTGCAACAGCCCGAGCAGACGAAAGCTGGAAAAGTTAATTTGTCCTAAAAATGTACAAGGCCAAAGAACAGTATTTCTTCTGCATGTCTGATAAGTATAATTAAGTTCGTAATTAGGCTGCTATGTCAGCCCTACCCCAAGATTTAGCCAACCTAACAGACAGGCAGGAGAACACATGAAGCACTTGCATATGGAGATTTCAGTTAGTGCTTCAATGGGGCAATTACTTCAGCTGGGGAAGACTAAAGAGCCCACAGCAGATTTCCTCATAGCACGCTAGAGAGACCAAGCAATGGCATTCTTGCTTTCTGACAACACCATACGTTTTTGCACCAGGAAAGCTGCAGTTAGCTGGGCAAACACCTCTCTGGCGTAGCTACACAGAGAGTAGCTACACCCTGAAACCCCAGACGGTGCAGCAGTGGCGCAGGGCTAGCTGCAGGCTGTGCTCATCCAGTGTCAGCAATCAATTGTACTGGGACAATGCCAGAGTTTACCACCTCACAGCTGGGACCCCCCGCCAGCTCCGCTGAGAGGAAATAACTTGTCACACGTACACTGTGCTGCAGTGCAAAATACAGCAGGTTTAGAGCACCCAGCCGCTGGGCAGCAGCTGGCAGTGCTTTCTCCAGGTACTTGCTAGCAAATTGAGCCAGACCACAGCTAGAATCACACAGTCCATCTCAGTCAGAATCAGAGCACCTTGTGCTCAGGAAAGGTCTTACTAACCAACTGGACACCAAGAGGCATTGGGTTCCTTCACAGCAGCTGGGTGCACACGTGGCCAGCAGACCAGACAACTAGCCCCCAGGTCCTCTGTCACCCAGGAGTATCAGTGAAGAGCAATGCACAGCAAAAGTGCTCGCTGTAATTAAAGGGAAAGCTGGGAGCTTCCCATATAAAGAATATTTTCCAGCCACGCTCTGCAGTTCCTAAAGAGACCATTGAAACAGCACACAGACAAGGGCTTTCCAGAGCAGTCATAGCAAGAGAACTACAGTAATATAACTTATTGGCATAAAATAAAGTCTTCCTCTCAACAGGGATGGCTGATTCCCTCTGATCTGAAGCAGCTTCTCTTACCTCTTGGGAGATTTCAAGATGTTTCCTTGCAAAGTGCAAGGCTTGTTCGTGGCTCCCCAGGGAGACATAGGCATTTCCCAGACTCCAGCAGGCTCTTCCTTCTCCCACCCTGCAAAACAGGAAGCTGTCAACCACAGAAATGCTGGGCAAAACCCGGCAGCACAGCCGCCTTTTCAGCGCCTCCTTCTCTAGAGCACCAACAGCCGGGCCTCCTAGCTATGCTTTAATCTACAGAAGTGTTCTGCAAAGGAAAATTAAATGCACTGTACATCCTAAACTCTTCTTACACTGAGGTCAGTAGGATCAGGGAATAAGCAACAGCCTCACAAGTGGGCCTGCACCCAGTGGCAAAAAGCTAAGCAGTGCAGCAAGGGGCCAGAACAGTTTGGCTTCATTTGTGCCACCAGTCTGGGAGCAGAAGCCGGAGCTGCCATCCAGCTTCCACTTCACACAGCAAAGGTTCCTCCCGAGAGATGCACAATGCAACAAGAGGACATGTAGCATCCAACCCTTTAGTTCAACAGCCCAGAGCTAAATTAGCAGAACATGGCAAGGAGAGAAGATTGCAGGCATGCAACACTCTCCCGCTCCACACCAGCACTGCATCGCCCAGGAGCACGCACAAACTGAAACTGCAGGCAACCGCCAAGCAAATATTGACCTATTCCCAGGGCGCTGCTTCTGGTTTTCAGAAGCCATAGAAAGCGGACAAACATGAAACCGCCCCGGGCAGCCCTCACCCCCAGTCCTGCCAGGCACCCAAGTATCTCTGGCGGTTTCAGTACCTGTTTGCACAAGCAGGCAGAGACCTGCTGCTCATCAGAGCCTGCTCAGCTGTGCAAATAAGCAGATGTGGGGGGCGATGGGATAAAAAAAGCATATGGGGGCGCAGGGGGAGGTTCAGCATGACTGCAACTCCCTTTTCAGAGGTTTGGGCGGGTTGATCAGCATTGAAACATTTTTCTTGTCACCCTGTTCAATACCTTCTGCTCATAGGGTGTGTTCCCAGAAATGCAGGAGCCCACAGGCCTGCACCCCCACAGCATGATTCACCCTGGGGTGGGATTAGACTTTCTCTGAACAGATAGTGCCCTGGTAGTGCCACAGAGCTCCCATTTTAATGTCTCTGCTCCATCTAGTGGAGGACAGCCCAAGAGCCGTCAGCAGTAACACCGAACAAGGCGGCTGCAAAGTCACTTTAGCTGCAGGAAGGCTCTAGGATCACAGAGAGCATTATCCAGGAGACAGGGCCAACCTCTCCCTCAAAAAGAAAAAAAAAAAAAAAAAAAGGAGTACAAGCCCCCTAAAGAAGGAAGAATGAGACCAAGAAGCAAAATGTATCATCTCCATTTGTTTCTACTTGGAAGTTTCCAGCATCATCTCAGAGCAACAGGACAAAGCAGCACGTGTATATATGTGTGTGTACCTGTCCTGCCCACACAGTTTCTATGGAAGATACAATTTTGTGAACTTGAGGAAGCTTAAAGGGGCCCTTCTGAGATAAAACAGCAGCAGCCACTTTGCAAAGGGCTGAATACAATGCATTTTCTTGAAGTGCCTCTTATCAGAAACCTCCCTCAGCCCACGCAGACACAGCATTAAGGGCACACTCTCCAGGTTTGAAGGACATGATAGAGCTGTCAATCAGGTTATGTTTTTGACAGATGACTGGACTAAGGCCTGGGTTCTGAGACAGTTCTAAAGACTTTCAAGAATACGTGTCACTGCTGTTTAGCCTCAGCAGCAGAGAACAATAAATCAACAGGGGGGTCAGTGCTGTGAACCCACCAGAGCAGAGACGCTGCCTCCTGAGGCAGCCCCTTACCTGTCCCCCAGCTCCTGGGCTATCACCAGGTGTTTCAGATGGTACTCAATCGCTCTTTCATAGTCTTGAAGCAGCGTGTATGTGTTTCCAAGACTGTAGCAAGCCTGGGCTTCTACTGCTTGGTCTTTGAGTTGTCTGGAGAGCTGGAGGGTTTTCCTGCATGGAACAGGTGGAAATGAAGAGATCTGATACTGCAGGGCACCTCTGCAAGGGGACAGGAAAGTCACCGCTTTGGCACGTGCCCGTTACATGCTGCAGGCTGTCGGGTGGCTGCATTGCTTGCCACTGCTGAGCACCACACATGCAATTGGCCTCCAGGTCCCTTGTCACATCCCCAAGCCTGTGAATTCACTGCAATAGGTCAAGATTTCCAGGGAACACTTGCCCTGAGTCTGCCTTAGCCCCTGGCACTTACTTGTAGTACTCAGCAGAGATGTCAAACCTCCCAAGGAAGATGTGTGCATTGCCCAGGTTGCTGTATGCTCTCCGCTCAGCTGCCTTGTCCCCAAACTCCTTAGCAATGGCCAGGCGCTGCAGCAGACACAGATTGGTGAGTACAGGCTGGCCACTGCCAGGTTTCTGTTTCACAGCGGCTTCTTTCAGAGGTTAACTTCTCAGCTTGCAAAGCCCCCACCCAGCAAGGCAGTGGTGCCCATGCCTATCAGTGCTGGATGCAGCAGGAAATCTCTCCCTCTTTTGCAATTCAGGATCAGGAAGGGCCTTTGGAACTGGGGGAGTAATGTCACATCCTCCTCTAACTCCCACTCCAGCCTGATCAGCGCACACCTCTTTAGCTGAGGTGCCAAAGGAGCTATGCACATACTTCAATAGCTAAATAAAGAGGCAAATGGAGAGCTGGAGGTGAGGCTGCGAAGGGATGTGGTTGATCAGCAGACTGACAGGCAGGTTGTCACCTCGCATGGTGCTGTGGCACAGAATGAACACGCACACGTGTGCACTCCATCGCACCATCTGCACTGCAGCTGCTCCCCAGCCCCCGGCCTGCACCTCCGTCCTGCCTCTCCTCTCACATCCCCCTGCTCCCTGAGCTTCTCCACCTCTTGCTCTCCACTTCCCAGCACCTGCTCCTGCTCCCAAATACTGCACAGAGCTTTCCTGCCCCTTTCAAGCCCCTTCCCCCAAAGCACTGCTGGCTGCTGTCCTCCAGCGTTTAAAAATCAGAAGAGCTGTGACAGGGCTGACTTTCCAAGGTGCTGAGCACCTTCCACTGCAAGGAAACTGGTATGTACTCTGAACTAGAAGCTGAATTGCATTTGAATTGGGGCAGAGACTGCATCACCTCACCCCTCTGTAAAGCTTTACAGAAAGTTATTATGTTCTACAAGGAACATTTATTCCTGATCAACAGCTCTTCCAGCAGCTTAATTAAATTCATGGCTTGCATTTATTAAAATCTAGACCGACACAAATTAAGAGCAGAAAGGCCTTGCTGGCCCAGCTGCAAATTTGCCCTTAGACATCTCCTTTGGTTTCCAAGCCAACAGCACCCTTCCCTCAAGCCGCTCATTAGGTGCTGATGGGAGTAAGATGTTGCCCAGCATGAGTTTGTACAGCAGGGCCAGACCCTGGGGCACACATGGGAGGGAGAAAAAAGCTGAGGGCAAATGCCTCCATGTACTTCCTGGGCTGTGGTGAGAAGAACGGCTGGTCCCCAACAGCCAGGCTCAGCCCCGGACCCCAGGAAGAAGGTGGTTTCCTACCTCCTTGTGGAAGGCTATAGCTTCACTGAAGTTGCCAAGCAAGTACTGGGTGTTGCCGAGGTTGCCATAAGCACGGCCCTGCGCAGCTCTGTCCCCCAGCTCCTTCACCAGGGACAGGTTCCTCCTGAAAGAGATCAGAGCAGTACGTCTGGTGAGCCACAGCCACCGCACTCTGCAGAGACACAGAGAAGAACCTTGCACCTAAAGAAAGGAGAGCCAGCCCTGGAGAAGGCATTTCCCCTCCCCAGCCACTGTCCGGTGCATCCCCTGGCAGGTGAAGGTCTGGTGATCGGCGCCAGCCACAGGACAGGGACAAACCTGGGGAGAAGGGCAAGATAAACTACAGATGAGAAGGACAACTGGGACTTCAAGTGAAAGGCTCTTCCCTGAGATGAAGGAGAGCCTCTGTTTGTGGCTCCAGCAATGGAGAGACAGGGATCCATTCTCATCAAGGCCAGCAGAGAGCAGCAGGGGCTACAGGATATAGAAGTTGAGCTTCCAAATAGAGCTCTGAGGGGCAGACATTGAACTTAATTGCATGATCACACTTTAAACTACACTGGGTTTTACCAAGGCAAAGCCAGGATGAATTTTAGCTCTAATTTTATAAAAGCTTGCAGTCCCTCTCGCACCTTCCCCTGAGATTAATTTGCCATAAATTGGCATCCCAGGGGAATATTCCTAACTCATTGCAACATGCAAAAATCTAATTCAGTGGCCTGATTTTCAACAACATCGAGCCCATTATCTCATTCTTTGCAACAAAGATTTTCCAGAGCTCCCACATCCTCAGTGGCCCAGGAAACAAATCCCTGCTATGAGAAATGCTTCCAACAGGACTCAGTAAAAATGGCTGTCTTGTACCCCATGCAGCTACCACTAGCCTAACGGTTATCAGAGCTCAGCTAACCTGCAGACCCTGAAAGCTGTGAGCAGAACAGGAACACCACAAATACAGGTTATGATCTGAGCAGGATAAGCTCAAAGGTGGACCTGTGTGCATTCTGGCAATCACCGATGCCTGACCAGTCCTGTTCCCTGCAGGAGAAAGCATGGCCAAGCTTGAATACTTACTCATAATATTCTGAAGCTTTCTGTAGCGTTTCCTTGACTTCCTGAGTCAGGTAGCCTGGGTCTTGGGCCATGTTCCAAGATAAGTGCTTTCCCTTCGCATGGTAAACATTTCCTATATTATAGAGTGCTCTGGCTTCACCTACCTAAAGGGAGGAAGAACAGGGAGCAGCAAGGTATTACACTTCCCATCCCAGTATGGACCTCTCCATTGCTGGGCAGAGATGCTCAAAGCCAGGAGGCCCACATTTTCCTTCCCCATCTTCACTGTTATGGCAGTGTTACTGTCAGCAGCATGAAACCTGTGATGCAGCGAGAAGGGAGAGCTTTACACTCCATCTCCTTCCAAAGCCCACCTTCAACATATAACAGTTGCAGACAGATTATCTCTAAAGCTAAGAAATATTTCCTGTTGGATGCCATGAACCAATTACCTTGTCTCCCTGCTCCTGAGAAATGTCCAAGTGTCTCTGGCAACACACAACAGCTTCATCAAACTGCCCAAGTATTTTCAATGTATTCCCAAGGTTGCCACTTGCCTTCGCTTCTCCAATGCGGTCTCCAATGGTTCTATGAGATGACCAGAGGAACAGGGAGGTGTTAAAGAGCTCACAGACCTTTATTCACCAACTGTTGGAGGCAGAACTCAAGCTGCAGCAAGCACTGCATGGTACGTACACCACCTCCAACAGTTCCCAGCACACACACCTGACTGGAATGCTTCATACAAGCACTCTCAATTTTGAAGACAGATCCTTGTTTTTTTGCTGTCTCAGGTGAACTGCTCTAATTACTTCAGGTGTACCTATGAGTACCTGGGGATAGGAGAACTGGACACTGTCCTGGCTCTCGCTCCAACCCCCATCCTCACATCCATATCCCTTTCTTCACCTCCCAGCTCTGAAGGTGGCTGACCCCTTCTTTTTGCCTCCAGAGTTCTCCACAAGACAGTCAGCCCATGCCTCAGGGCTACTTTTGGATGCTTATTTCTGGGGCAAATCCCCTCAGGCTGCTGGGTTCAGACCCCACAGATCTTTCCTTTGCTCAAGCCCTGCCAGGTTGGGTCTGGTTAGGACAAAGCCCTGCTGACATGCTTACCTGGCCAGGGTAAGGTCGTGTTTATGGTACTCCAGCGCCTTGGAGTACTCCTTTAGGTAGAAATAGGCATTGCCCAGCTGACTGTAGATGGCACTGAGAGTCTTCAGGTCCTCTGTCCCCACCTGCACCGCTGCTTCAAAGAAGGCTGCCCCAGCTTTGAAGTCCCCAGCCTTGCACAAGCGCTCTCCTTCCAGGGCCAGCTCCAGGCAGGACGCCTCCATTCTGCCAAAAGCAAAACAGTCATTTCTAGAGGAGTTAGACTGCAGTGCACCCATGCAGCAATGCAACAATTAAAAGGTTTACTTCATTGTACACCTTTAATTACTCACTGCACCAGTAAAACACAAACAAGTCCTGGAGGGAGCTGCTCTCCAGGCAGCAGCTGCCTCTCTGCGTTCAGCCCCAAGCACTGAGGCACCAGCCCCACACCAAACACCGTTTGGGCGATGATAACTCAGGGATGTGCAGCCGGCACACCTCAGCAGTGTGGACACCAGCTTTCAGGGGACACGGTGGGCACTCAGCCCCTCTGAGAAACCAACCTCCTAGATACGAAACACGGGAACATCCAGATTGACAGTCTGCATCTGCAAGTGGCTAGAGACAGCCCTTGAGTTCCCAGTAGGAATCCAAACAAACTCTGGGCTCCTGGCTCTCAGGATGCAGGTTCACATCACAAGAATAACACAGCACGTGTTTTTCTCACAGGTGGTGCACAGTGCAGAAGCCACGTACCCAGGCTATCCACGCCTGCACCCCCTTCCCCAGGGTAACAGAGAGGGTAGCCAAATCGCAACACATTTTTCTTGGATACCAGAGAAAACCCTGGACTGTGCAGAATTTCCTGGCTGAGCAGCTTCCAGAGCTCCCTGTCTGCTTTTCATTAACTCCCCTGCTGTCAGTTTTTCCACAGGCACTCTGCACATTAGCCTCCAGACTTGCCTTCCTCCCTTGCATTTCTCGACACCTTTGGCAATGGTGCATGCTATGCTGTCAGTGAGCGTTCTGCAAGCCAGCAGAGAGGAGTGAGACCAGGGATATTGCTTCAAGAGAAAGGAAACGTGCTCCTTTGAACGCTCCACCAAGTCCTCTCTAAGTTACAGCTGTCCCCAGTAAACCCCATGTATCCTCCAGCTCTCACAAGGGACAGAGCACGTCTTTGAAAGCATCTTACCTCTGCAAAGCCAACCCTTCATGAGGCAGATGGACACAGCACGTTCCTGCTCCTCTATTCAGACACTTCTCTCTGCTCTTTTTGACTTTTTCCATTTCTGCTTAATGTATTTTTAAAAGTCAAAACTATCTAGGTCAAAGGTGGACATCTGCTCAGAAAAAATATAGCCCATTTGTCCAGAGTCAGAAAAGCGAGGGTCAGACAAAAGATAATAAATGTCCAAAGGCAGTTTCTATTCTATTCTTGAAGAGCACTTGCAGGAAGCTTGACTGTGGTACCCAGACTAAGAGAACAACTTGCTCATCACTGATAGCAGCAGCCCAGCTGACGTCTCCCACAGCCATTTCCAGCTGAGCCCTAGAAGATGTTTCCCCCAAAGCCACCCTTGTGATGAGCCAAAGCCCAGCTCCTGCAACCAGGGTCTCTGCAGACCAAGGGTGGGGTGTGTTGGCTGTGCCAGGGCACTCTGCGCTGCTCTGGCTTCTCCCCCCAAGGAGACAACCTGCCACCATGCACCCACACACCCCCCGTGCACGCTGACTTCAGGGCAGAGTTCCTCCTGCTGCAGGTCGCTGCTCCAGCATCTTCTGCCCACATCTGCACCCAACACCCGCTGCCTCCTGCTGCAAAGGGCCACGTGGAGATGCACGTACAAAATACCGATCCTGATAGATTTTTCCTACAAACAGGCAGAATGGTGTTTTCTCAGCTGCCAGGAAACAAAGCCAGTCCCTCTATGAACAGAGTATAAAGCATCTACAATCCAGCACTATTTGCCTGGCAGCCTCCCTGCTGAGCTGGCTCTGTACAGCTCCAAACACCCAACGCTTGGCAGCCCAACAGCACCCTCCAAAGCAGCACAACCCACCAGGACTGTCCAAACAAAAGAAAAAAAAAACACCAAAAAAAAAGGCAAAGAACTGGTTTCAAACTCTCCCTCCAAACACTCACAACCCTTCCCATCTCACTGTTCATTTGTCCCCAAAACCACCAAGTAACAACAAGGAGAAAGGGATTGGGAAGCAGCTCATCTGAGCTCCCACCTCAAGCTCCCACACAAATATTTGATTTCAAGCTCACTGCAAAGCCCACATTTTAGTGGCTATTTTCCTTGTGCAAGAAGGCTGCTTGCAGTGCCAGTGCAGCGTTAGTCCCTGCCTCAGCTTCCCAATATCCACATTCTCTTTAAGAGACCGAGTGCTCACCAACTGTAACCAGTCTAAAAACTGAGCTGCAGACCCGTTTTCCCAATTCATTGCATTGCAGTCTAATTCAGATCAAACCTGCTGTGTGATTTGAATAGCCTGAAGTGAGGGTTTCCATCCCCGCAACACAGAAAACCCTACAGCAACAAAACCCAACTACACGCTCCAGGGGCAGCATCTCACCGGGGCCGTATTTGCGAGTGGAAGCAAAACCAGAAGCAAAATCAGTGCCTCGGCGCTGCATTCTGATACACTCACACTCTTACACACACACACATGCTCTCTGGGTGCTCTCCTGGTGTTCCCATAGTAACTATCCAGGCACAGTGCAGTGACATGACCCTCAGATGCACACAGCCTTTAATTAAAATCTGTTTGTCCTTGAACAGGCTGCTTTGCAGAGTATCTGACTTATCTAATTAACATCACTGCTCAGTTTGGGACCTAAGCAAACAAGGGGAAGGGAGAGGAGGCTTTTTCCCCGCATCACATTCTGCCAAGCATTTGCTGCCACAGGAAGGAAAAAGTCAAGGATGGCAATTATTAACAGAAACACAACCCACTTCTAAAACCCACCTGCCCTTCCCACACCCTTGGGGCCCGACAGCCAGAGCTAGTTTTGGGAAGCAATTCTGCACGCTGTTCAGTCACCCGGGGCTTAAAAGCCCTCAGAAACACAGTGCCAAGGGCAGAGGAACCAGCTAAAGGTCAACAAACAAAAGCATGCTAAAACACTCCATGTACAGCAGCTTCCAAAGGCCATGTTTCAACTGGCCGTAAGAAAAAGACGAGGGGTGATTGAGGCAGAAGGTAGGAATCCACTGTTCCAGTGAGCCAACATGAACCGCCTTGACAGACGCTGGCAAAGGAACGAAAACAGGGAATAAAGACAGAGTTGAGCTCCCCCACAGGACGTGACTGAGCCCTCTCCTACCTCTTCTTCTGCAGGTTACGCATTTTCTGAACATAAACCCAGAGCTCCAAGCCCACTGGCAGAACGAAGCAGTGGGGCTGAGGTCTACTTGGAACAATTTTGCAGAGAGGTCTCTCTGGTAAATTCACAGGCAGGATCCTGGGTTTTGAAGATGCTGATGGCATCTTCATGTCCATACAACACATACTGCTCTCCAGGTCTCACTCCATCTGCTTGGGCAATCTTGAACTGTGTTTATCTGGGACATTTCCTTTTGTTTCCATATGCTGCTCTTGAAAGGGAAGGGGAAAGGAGCATTGTTTTTGTTTACAGAGAACTAGAAAAAGTAACATCCCTTTTCCTCTAAAATATAATATCCTTTGTCCTCTGTTGGTTTCAGGTACCAGATAGGCGAGTTCACAGCTGAAATCTGGAAACAAGTGAGCATCTTAGTTCATTCACAGATTTCAGCACTGCCCAAGGGCCCCAGAAGAGTCCATGAGACGGCCAGAATCCAAGGCAGGCAGCTCCCTCCTTTCTGAGCTGGTCTCTTCCCAAAAGCACTCCGCCTCTGTGGTCACACATCAGCTATTCCTGTTGGTGCCTCTTTGCCCCAAGTGCAGAAGGACTTCTGCTGCTACAAACACCTTGTCAGGTGAGGAGCTCAGGCTTCCTCCAGAAGATGGTCTTTGAGGAGAAGCATACACCAGTTTGACAAGCTCCAGAGAGGCCTCATCCATCTGCCATCCAGGAAGCTTTTCAAGTTCCAGAAGTGATCCAAGCAGTTCTCAGACTAAGGAAAAGTAGAAGGTGGTGGATCCCACAGAGCACATCCCTCTCCATTTAAATGGGCTCCAAAATATCCCCATCTGAGAAGACACAGCCCTCTGTCCCTCACCCTCCATGTATTTTTTTCCTCTACTGACACACAGGCAACACGCCTGGGTCCATACCACCTCAGCAAGCACCTACTATTCGTGTCCTAATACCAGAAAAGAAGATTCAGTCCCTCCTGAGCCAGCAAATTACCGCTGACAAGCTGAAGGTGCTGGGCTTGGCCATCTGGCGTGGTTCAGAAGAGGGATGCTGCAGAACATGAGCTGCTTTTCTTACTTCCACAGCTAAGTTGCTAGAGCTTGTTAGAGCAATTCCCCCACCACTCCAGCTTTGAGCTAACAGCGTGGCACGTCCCTGCCTGGGGGTCTGAACAAAGACAGGGAGGGGGGGATGCTGGCTTGGAGCAGCTTCTGTTCATAACCCTTGCGGGAAATCAGTGCAAACCACTCACACAGGTTTGCGCGTTCCTCCACAGAGGCAGGATTGCCAAGCGCTGGCAGAAGTCACATCCCAGACTCCAGACCCACCACAAGCAGCCAGGAAGGTCTGACAACCTTCCCAGGTGATCAGGTTCCAGATCAAACCAAGACTATACCACATACAGCAAAGTGCTGTCTTCTGAACACATGGAGATGACAGGCCACGTCAAGTCTGGCCAGGTAAGGATGAAGTTTTGAAGACACCAGCTGTGATCTAGAAATCAGAACAGTGCTGGTGTGTACAGCAAAGAGTCCCAGCACCAGTTCCAACTGGAGCGCTACGCAAGTCCCACAGCTCCTCACTCCTTGGGTTGTGTACACACCTGAAAAAGAGCCATGAAGGGGGCTCCCAGAGCACTTTGAGATCCTTTTGCAAAAAGTATTTTAAAAAAGGGTAATGTAGACGTTTAAGAAAACAACAAAAAGAACAATTTTTTGAAAAGCAGTAAGAGGCCAAATATAAACCCAATGTTTGGCCACAACCGAGTTGTGCAATCTGCACAGCACTCTGCCAGAGGAACCAGTGAGTGGCATAATGCTGGCAGATCTCTCAGCCCCCATCAATGCGACAGCTGCACATTTCAAACCGGGGAGTGGATGTTGCATCTGACACTCACATGAGGCAGAAAAGGGGTGACCCTTCCACCGCACGGCGACAGGGATGAGGAAGCCTCTTGCCAACACAACACAGCACAGGGCCAGCCATCCTCCCTCCTCCTCAACTTTTTCTTTAGACAACTGCGATCTGAAGGCAGAAGGAGCTGAGGACAGGAAGAGCCGATATTGCCTTTAACAAGATCTCCCAGGGTCATCCATCACTGTCAGCAGCTAATGATGATCTGATCACAGATTGCCTTTTGGCCGCCTCACAAGCTGTCTGAAAGAATTAAGGAATGAAAATTTTCCCTTACAAAAGGTGTGCAGGCAACACACAAGAACTCTTACGCATCAAACGTTCAAGCAACACAGAAAGCAGCGAGGGTCCCCGGAGCATGGGGGATGCCAAGAACAGTGCCAAGAAACAAAGCAAACAGCAGGAGGTGTTATCAGTGCCATTAACAACGATCACCATGACTGCTGTCACAACAGCACTATAATTAGGACTTGGGTGATGATACAGGTCCCCAGAGGGGGAACACTGCTCACAAGGTGTTCAGAAGCTTGGAGCTACAGTCAGGCCTCCCAACACCTCGCTCTCCCTCAAATCTTTGGGTCTCCTTTGCCAAATATTCCAAGAAAATAACCCTGCATGGACAATATCACACTTTTCCTCCCCTGCTAGGCTGGAAAACAACAGTGCAGGCTGCCTTTAGCCAAGAGCCACTCTGCAGGATCCTGGGCTAGGCACTGACCCCAAGCTCAGGGCTGCTGCTGCTCCTGCAGCCCAGGAGATACACCCCCCCAGAGCAGGACACAGCCACATCCCACCTCTCAGGGCTGCACCTCAGCCCCAGAAAAAGAGGAGACCGCACAGTGTCCAGCAGTTAAACCTGTCTTAAGCCAAGTGTCCCTTTCACACGTTCAGGGCTGCCGCCTTTGCACTGCCTCGCTCACAGCACTTATCCTGCTGACAACGAATCCATCAAACTCCGCAGAAAATAATCATGTCACAAGACAGAGCCGGGAGACAGCTGTCTGCTGCCCTAAATATTGTAAAGCTCACAGGGCAAGAGAGACTCTTCTTTGCCTGCAAGGTGAAACTGCCTTAAAAAATGATAAAGCTATTTATAGGTATTTGATTCATATCAGTGGGGGCAATTGCAAAACACATTCCTAATCAGAGCTGCTGTAATTCTGAAGTCAGGAGTAAGAAAACCCAAGCTCTTAGATGGGTAACAAGGCAGAACACCCCCCCACCAAAAACACCAACAGTAGTAAAAAAAGTCGCTTAGTGTATCTATTGATATGAATTAATGAAGCAACAGATTTTTAGCATCTTACTGGCAATCTGATTGAATTTTATGCAAAAATAAATGTAATTTCAGAGCACTGATGACAGGTGCAATTAAGCATTTTTCCCCAATCAAAAAGGGATCAAGTTTATCAGGTGCTCAGTGTAAATGTATATTCACTGTCTTAACTAAATATGAATTTAAATAATTAACTGGCAGCACATCCTTAAAGAAAGTTAATCAAGCTGGGAATTATTCCCTTTTAGTAATTTGCTTTCCCAGCCTTGACACAGCTCCTGCATGTGAAAAGCAGCTGATGACTGAGCCAGCAGATAAAGCATCCAGGTGGGAGCTGCTGGAACTCCCCAGGGATGGTTCCCTTCACTGCACAGGGACAGGATGGAGGGAGCTCACATCCCACCCCAACCAGCTCACGCTTCTCCTGTGCCAGAGCCCTAGTGAAGGGTCTGACTATTTCCATAGGCTTCCCTCCAGGCGGAAAGCTATCCCAGCTCCTCCTGATGCACAGCTTCAGTTTATTCTGGTGAATTTGTTCCTGTTTAGCCACGGGCCAGCACTGCAAGCTGGACGAGACTGCTCTCCTCTGCCCGGGGCACTTTCACAATGTATTTTGGGCAGTCTCTCTCTGGCTGCTCTGCCCCAGGCAGGGTCCTCACTCCTCATCAACCAACACTCTCCTCACACCAGGCTGGGAGCTCCTGTCATCATATCACCAGCACGGACACAGCTGCCTCTCCCTCACTTGCTCCCAAACGATGAGCTCCCATCTCCGAGAAGAAAATCTTATCACTAGCTCCTAAGTACATGTGTTTGCAACTTCTTACCATTAAATATCATCACATTGCCATGACACCAGACCCATCAGTCATTCCTCTCCTCCTGTTCACCACTCATCCTCCCCTGCACCGCTTGTACCATCAGCACACCCATTAGCAGCCTGCTCTGTTCTGCAGGGAGGGCACTAATGAACATACCCAATTAACTCCCTCCCAAGACCAGTTCCTGTGCAACGTGGCCAGCAATGCCTCTGCACCCTGCCGACAGCTCTCCTCGCAGCACAGCCCCTCGCTTCCCACCCACACCAACCCAAGCGCTGATCCCCTCCTGACAAGCAGTGTCCCCACAAGGCACCGTATCAAACACAGGCTGGCAGGGAAGGGTGGCAAACAAATCAAGATATATGTGACATCAGCCTGACTCAAACTCCTTTTGGTAGTTTGAAACCAGCACACAAAAGGGGGTTTCCCTCCAGTCAATGGAGAGCAGAACCTCGGGGCATTTTGACCTACATGTCACCTTATTAGTGAGGGGAAGAAAACAAAACCTCTTGTTTTGTTTGGAGAGGAAAGGCCAAAGATTAAACAATGCATGCTGCACCCAGTCCTTCCCAGCTCCTGAATTTGTTCCAGGTGTCTGGGAGAGTCTCCTTCACATCTCCTGAGGCAGATGAGGTCCTGCAGAGGCAGCTCTGTGCCACCAGCACATCTGGAGGGGAGAAAGTTTCCACTCCACAGGCTTTCACTGGTAGTATTGCAGTGAGCCCTCTCAGTGACCTCCAAACTGAAAATAATAAAGTTCTACATATACACACACACGCTTACTGCTGCCTGCAAAGTGTTTGTTCAAGCTGGAGCTCCAGGGAGTACCAAGATGAAGCGGTTTTCACTGCAGTCTTGCGATAAGGGCATGAAACGGAGAATTCAGAGGGGAAAACTACAGGGAGTTCTGGGAGCCCCTGGCTCTGTGCACTGGCTCCAGATTTCCTTCTCCCCTTGCTGATGGCAGCACCAGTGCTCCACAGTAGTCATTTCAGTTAATTGCTATCTACCATTAGCTGCAGAGTACTTACAAGGGATTCAATTCCACTGCATATTTGCTAATAAATACCAAATGACAGCGAGGAAGACAGCTGTATTTAGCTGCATTTACCCTCTTATTAGCAGAGCTGAATAAGAC